GAGGTTCCATGTTTGACTCATTGTGATAGTTGTTTATTGATCTTTTTGGTTTGAACTAATCAATATAATTATGAACAATCTAGATTAGTTCACAATATGGACTTAATCAAAAACACGGTAGTAATGACTGACTTTTTCATAAATCAAAAATATTTAAGAGGTGGAAAAATCTAATTGTAACACGTCATCTTGAATGGAAAATTAAAATGTGACAAATATTGCATTTTCATTTTCGAGGTTTCGGATAAATTCTATTTAATATTTTTTATACATACAAGTGGGGATAATATCATACTTAGAATTACAAGTTTATATTGCCATATACAAAACCTTTAACAAATAATGTGCTTGATGCGTTATAATGAGTCTGTTTCGCAGAGCTTACTTAGGAGCTTTAACTTATTTTAGGCTATTAATAAGCTATATAAGTCTTGTAGCTTATAAGAGTTTATTTTGAAACGCCACCTCAGATAGCGTTTCAAGATAAGCTAGTGGCTTCCTAACTTTTTTTCCATCTTTGTCCTTATTATTTTAAAGAAATGACATCATTTAACCTTCCCAATTAAAATTCTTTTCTCTTCTTTTTTATCCGCAACTTTCACAGCAATTATTATTATTGTTGACTCAAAGTGTTTTGTCAAAGTTATGTGCAAAAGGAATACCAGATCTATAAAGGAATACCAAGCCTAAGAGGAGTAGTTATTGAAGAGTACTAGTTCTAAAGGGAATTGTTATTGAAGTGTTTAGTTCTAGTCTGATTAGGAATAGCTTTATTATTCACGAATCTGTTAGGAATAGCTACTATAAATAGGGGTTGTCCTTTCTTGTAAAACTCAAGCATTCAACATTAATCTGGTGAGGTACGAGAGCCTTTGAGAATAGGATACTAAATTCCCCTAGAAAGTAGTACATGTGTTTAGGTTTCAATAGTTTGGTAGGAAAGATCATTCTATTGTGTAATCTCAGGTTCCAAACAGTGTACTTTAAATATTGAGCTTTTAGTGGATTTAGGCAAGTTCTCAAATTGAGAAGTGCCTCGCAGATTAGGGTTGTTTGCCCGAACTGCGTTACAGATCATTTGTGTTACAACGTCAGTTTCAACATCATTGTGTGCTGCGCTAATAGGAATAAGGGTCAAATAGGCCATCGAACTGCACTCAATAATGCAATTAGGCCACCGACCTTCAAAAAGCTACAATTGGGTCCCTGAACTAACGAATTCTATTCAATTAGTCTAATTTGTAGGTTTCCAAGTTGTTAACAGGTTACCCCTTTTCAAATTTTTTTTTAATTATTATTTAAAATAATTATTTAATATTAATAATTAAAAAAAAAAAAAACAGATTGACACACCGGAGACGAAGAAGGTTTCTTCGTCTCCGGCCATGGAGACGGAGAAACCTTCTTCGTCTCTGGCCGGAGACAAAGAATATCTTTGTCTCCATGGCCGGAGACGAAGAGTGCTCTTCGTCTCCGGCCATGGGGACGGAATTAACTTCTTCGTCTCTGGCCGGAGACGAAGGAGCCTTCTTCGTCTCCGGCCAGAGACGAAGAAATTAACTCCGTCTCCATGGCCGGAGACGAAGAAGGTTTCTTCGTCTCCGGCAGAGACGGTATCTTTTTTTTTTTTTTTTTTTTTTTTTAATTTAATTTTAAATAATAATTTTTTTAAAATATTATAAATTAGGGGTGACCTGCTAACAACCTCCAAAACTTACAAATTGAACTAATTGAATAGAATTAGTTAGTTCAGGGAGCTAATTGTTGCTTTTTAAAGTTCGATGGCCTAATTGCATTATTAGGTGCAGTTCGATGGCCTATTTGACCCTTATTTCTGCGCTAATATATATTTCAATTGGTATCAGAGCCAAACTGCTTAAGTTATTAGCAGGATCCTAATGGAGTTTCCCAGAGAAGGACTGTCAAACACTAGGCCACCTGCCCTCATTGGCACGAATTTTTCCTACTGGAAAGCCAGAATGCAAATATACATCTTGGCACAAGGAGAAGGTGTCTGGAATGCTATAGAAAACGAATGGAAAACTCCAGTTGATGATAAAGGAAACATAAAACCTAAAATTGACTGGAGTGAAGAAGAAAAAATATAATATAACTTCAACTCGAAGGCAATGAATGCAATCTATGGAGCTGTGAGCGAAGATACCTTCAAACTGATTGCCTCTACTCGCATAGCCAAAATTGCGTGGAGTATATTGTGCGATCATCATGAAGGAAACACAACTGTAAGACAATCTAAGCTTCAGATAATACAAACTGAATTTGAAAACCTGAAAATGGAAGAGGAAGAAAGCATCACCCAATTCAGTGCCAGAGTTTTAAGTATATCCGGAGATGCATTCAACTTAGGCGAACCTATACCCGAACATAGGATCGTCAAAAAGGTACTACGCTCACTACCCGGAAGATTCCAAATGAAAGTCACCGCTATTCAAGAACATAAAGATCTAAACACCTACAAACTGAGTGATCTAATGGGAAATCTTCAAACATATGAGCTTGAGATACTGCAAAAAGGGAAAGATAATGACAAAGGAATTGCGTTCCAATCAAAGCAGAAAGGAAGTCCAGAAATTGATACTGAAACCATGGAACAATCAATTGCTCTCCTAACAAAGAATTTCAACAGAGTTCTCAAACAATTCAACAAATTTAGAAACAAAAGTGCTTCAATCAATCAAGGGGACTTCCCAACTGGACAAAATCAATCTATTTCAAAAAGAAGAGACAGTTCAAATACAGAGGGAATACAGTGCTATGAATGCAAAGGTTTTGGACACATCCAATCAGAATGTGCCACATACTTGAAAAGGAAAAATAAAACATATATATCAACCCTAAGCGACGACTCAGATAGTGAAGAAAATGATAGCAACACAAATTTCGTAGCCTTCACCGCTAGCCATGAAAGCAACAATAGCGATGACATGCAAGAGTTACTAGAGGCATACACTCAACTAAATTCCAAGTGGGAGCAAATCATCAAGAAAAATTTGGAACTCATGGAAGATAATCACTATTTGAAGAATGAAAAAGAACGAATAGAGAAACAATACAAAGAAGCTCAAAACGAACTATTAGACTTCAAAAACAAAGAAGCTGAACTTCTACAAGAAATCAAGGAGCTTACCGAAAGACCCAGGACTCCAAGCACAGACACTAGTGAGAATCATCAAACCGAGACACAGGAAGTGTCACAACAGCACTTCCGACACCGAAGAAGAATAAGGTGCTACTATTGCCACAAACTAGGACACATCAAAACTCACTGCTACAAGAGACAGAATGATCTTTACTACAGACAAAACAACAGAGTGTGGCCAACACAGAACAGAAATAATAGTAAGAAAATCTGGGTAAGAAAAGACCAAAATGTTGCATATACCTCCAAAACAAACAAAGAGCAAGATATATGGTACTTTGACAGCGGTTGTTCAAGGCATATGACTGGAAATTCAGAAAATCTTGAGAACATCCAGTACAAAAATGAAGGGCATGTCACTTTTGGAGACGGTGGAAAAGGACAAATTATTGCAAATGGTACCTTGAATGTCCATGGGCTGCCTAAGTTGTCAAAAGTCCTTTTAGTACAAAGCCTAAAAGCAAATCTAATCAGCATAAGTCAGCTTTGTGAAGATGAACTCAAAGTAGAGTTCTCTAGAGACAGTTGCAATGTGTTTAATCAGAATCATGATTGTGTCATGATGGGAAAAAGGTCTACAAACAAATGCTACACATGGGATAGTGATCTATCCGGTTTACAGACAACCATCAGTCAAACACAATTATGGCACCAACGTATGGGACACATAAATTTTCATGACCAAGGAGCATCCCCAGGCTATTCATCAAATAGTGTGATCATTGATGATGTAACTCCAGCAATAACCACTGATGATGACAAAAGTCCAAGAGTTGTTGAAACAACTGTTCCAACACCGCTGACTAATGATATGCAGAATTGCAGAACAGAAACAGAGCCAAATGAAGAAAAGGATAAAAGTCATCCTACTGTCTTAAAAAATCAGAAAAATCATCCTTTGGAAAATATCATGGGAGATCTCAATCAAAGAATAAAGACTAGAGGAAAGAAACAAGATTTCCACAAAATAAAAGGAGTATACTGCCACACCTCCAAGTTTGATCCCAAAAAACATTGATGAAGCCTTAAACTGTAACAGATATACATGATTGGGGTATAAAGTTGAGCTATGACATATGTGAACAAAATATGAAGTTTGGATTGCACTTACAATGACTCCGAAATTCTGTCGAACAGTTGAGGCGCACCCAAATGCGAGAGGGGTTTGTATAAATGAATACAAGTACGAAACTGATTTCCAATCAAAACCCGTTACTGTCCGGTTATTATAATAATCTCCATGGAAGCCAATGACATGAGTCTGGTGCGAAGGATCACCAGAAAATCAAGAAAGAAGACGGGGAAATCAGCATCTTCGATGTATCTACCGTGGATGAGCACGTCAGAACGGCTCCTCCGCCGTTTGATGACGGCGGTTACGGCAGATACGCGCCACCGTACCAATCAGCCGGGGGATTTCCGGGAGAGTACGATGAAGTGACAGTTGAGCACTTTCCTCAATCCGTCCACAGTCCCGATCCCTATGGATTCGGGTCGGATCCGCACCCAGCTTTCGGATCCTCTACCGTTCCGGTTTCAAACGGCAATGGAAATCCATATGATCTCGGAGAAGATTCCACCGGAATATTCATCTCTGATGGCCCGGTGCTTCCTCTTCCAAATGAAATGCATGATGCGGGCTTTGCCCTGCGTGAATGGCGAAATGTACAGAGACAGTGAAGAATTCTCTTCACTCACACATTCAAATACAAGTTTCAAGTTTTTTTTTCTAAGAACTCCAGGAATCAAGTTTAGGGGGAGAAGAATCAACTAAGGGGGAGAAGAATAGGAAATCAAGCCACTATGAGATCAAGGTTTTTGCCAAAAATTTGACAAAGGGGGAGATTGTTGACTCAAAGTGTTTTGTCAAAGTTATGTGCAAAAGGAATACCAGATCTATAAAGGAATACCAAGCCTAAGAGGAGTAGTTATTGAAGAGTACTAGTTCTAAAGGGAATTGTTATTGAAGTGTTTAGTTCTAGTCTGATTAGGAATAGCTTTATTATTCACGAATCTGTTAGGAATAGCTACTATAAATAGGGGTTGTCCTTTCTTGTAAGACTCAAGCATTCAACATTAATCTGGTGAGGTACGAGAGTCTTTGAGAATAGGATACTAAATTCCCCTAGAAAGTAGTACATGTGTTTAGGTTTCAATAGTTTGGTAGGAAAGATCATTCTATTGTGTAATCTCAGGTTCCAAACAGTGTACTTTAAATATTGAGCTTTTAGTGGATTTAGGCAAGTTCTCAAATTGAGAAGTGCCTCGCAGATTAGGGTTGTTTGCCCGAACTGCGTTACAGATCGTTTGTGTTACAACGTCAGTTTCAACATCATTGTGTGCTGCGCTAATATATATTTCAATTATTATTATTATTATTATTAGATGACGGAGATTCGCAACAATATTGCTACTTCATTATGGGATACTAGTCATGATTATGTTAGTAGTTTTATTTCAAAATGTTAATTTTTTTTAAGATAAAATGTTAAATTTTAATATGTAAACAGACTAATTTAAATTTTATGAAGATGTCCTTTTTTGTCTTTTCACATTTATCAATTTATCAAAAAGTTAATTTTACCAAACACTTTCAAGCATAGCTTATAGCTTATAATTTTTCAACTTTCAGCTCTTTTTAAGCTTTCAGCTACCTTTTCAGCTAGGTTGGCCAAACATAGCCAATATCACCGTCCAATATTCACTACAATTCAATTTTTATTTTTACTTTTTTTTTTTTATTGTGGAAACATCATGTGTGTTGCTCTTTTGGATGGTCTTGAAGGTTGATTTTAATTGAATTTCATGTTCAATTATATTGAATATATATTTACACTTATGGGATTTTTGATAGACATGAATTGCATTGCAATTCCACCACAATTCTTTGCCTAGCCTAATTACAATGTTTAATTGAAGGGAATTTTCAACATTTTGTTGAATTGCAATTCATGGGTACTCTCATGAATTGCAATTCAATGGTTGTGTGCAAATCAAATTCCAACTAGCAGAGATTGAAAAAGGCTTGATTCGAGCCCGAGCTCGCTCGTGTGCACCGGCACCTGGGGGCACGAACCAGAACCGAACCGAGAGCACGAGAGGTTGTGGTGCACCGAGAGCACAACTCTCGTGCAACAGAGTCCACGAGAGGTGCAAGGGTCGAAAGTTGAGACCGAACCCTGTACGCTAACGGTCTGGAACCCGAAAGTTCTGACTGTTGAGGGGATTGAATTCATCTGTTACGGAATTAATTGTCTATTAATTCCAATTTTGAATTCTGAATTCAATTCCCAGGTAGTGGCCTGCTATTATAGCTGTTGGAAGGCAACTTTAATGTCGAGACAGTAGAGTTTTACACACTGTGAGAACAGCAAGAACACTGCACGAAACATTGTTTTTCCAGCCTCAAAATTTTGCTTCTACTCCTCTTCTTAGCCATACTGTATTCATAACCACGTCTTGCTCGCCGGATTCTTTGTTTGAATGCTCAAACACTGAATCATAGCAAGTTTTATCCTGGGAAGCCTAGGCCACAACGCTCCTAGCATCTTTTGGGAGGTGACAAATAAGGTTTTAAGGAAATAGTGCTCACTTGACTCTTGCAAAAACCCAACACCAAACACTAGCCAAATTTCTTCATCTTTTCTTCCCTTCTTTCCAGAAAATAATAATCTTATTTTTGATTATTATTTGTGTTTTCTACCAACGGTACCAACACCAAACAACGTAATTTGAATTCCTACTTTATTCTCACCTTATTCTTTTTTACATCGAATTACAATTCATTTTCCCTCTAATTCATTCCTTCCAACCAAACGCCCTGTAAGATCCCCTAGAAAAAAAATTAATGGAATAAGGGTCAAATAGGTCACTCAACTGCACACACATTGCAATTGGGCCATTGAACTAAAAAAGAATGCAATTGAGTCATTAAACAACACAAAAACATGCAATTTAGCCCAAAATAACTTGTTTACCTGATGTAGCAAGTTACCGATTTTAAAATTAATTTTTTAAAATAATATTTAATAAATAATTAATTAAAATATAAATAAAAAATAAAAAATAAATAAAACAGAAACTGCCGACCGGAGACGATTCGGCCGAATCGTCTCCGACCGGCTTCGTCTCCATGGCTGGAGACGAACCTCCGTCTCCAGCTATGGAGACAAAGGTCTTCGTCTCCGGCCATGGAGACGAAGAGACCTTCGTCTCCATGGCCAGGGAGACGAAGCCGGTCGGAGACGAATCGTCTCCGACCGGCAGTTTTATTTTATTTTATTTTATTTTTATTTTTATTTTTATAATATTTTAATTGTTTATTTATTAAAAATTATTTTAAAAATTAATTTTAAAATCGGTAACTTGCAACATCAGGTAAAAAAGTTATTTTGAGCTAAATTGCATATTTTTGTGTTGTTCAATGACTCAATTGTATTCTTTTTTGGTTGAATGGCCTAATTGCAATTTGGTGTGCAGTTGAGTGGCCTATTTGACCTTTATTCCAAAATTAATTAAACATCACAAGTATAGTATGTGGTTTTAACAAGGCATGAATATATTTAAATAATTGCACATATATCTTGTACTATTTTCTTATCTAGGTTTTTTCAACAAGTTTTTAACGAGGCATGATTATGGTTATTTAATATCTAAGGGGAGTGTTATAAAGATTTTAAATATGGACATTAATATTAATGTTATGATCATTCATGGTGATGTATGTTTTCTAACAATCATATGTATTACCTTCCTTTATTATTATATTATATATGTAAGGGATTGACTAAATAAGTGGGATTTTCTTATCTCTATTCTCTATTCTCTGTAATTGCATTTTATATTTATCCTATTGTTACAATATTATTTGCAAGTTCACCGGTTAGGAGTTAACATGCCAACGGTCACAACAAATTATAACAAATTGAATATTGAGTTATAAAGTCGTAAAATTTGATTAAAAAAAGTCTATGGATCATGTGAGAACACTTCCATAGGAGAAAAATAAGAACCAGTCTCAACCTTATATCTGTAAAAATTCGACGGATCTGATCAGATTAAAAAAAATGCGGTGACAGTTTCGTAATTATCATCAACTCCACTGTGCAAACTTTAACACTTAAATATACAATCTTTAACGACTAAATATGCAAACCTGGTAAATTCTATAAAATCAACGAAAAAGGTAGATGTTAAATCTAAGATATATCTTAAACAGTAAAAAGTGAACCAATGGACCAAATGAAATTAAAAACTCAGTCATAAAACTCTAAAATTGAAACCCTAATTGCAAAGTACTTTCGCATTTTTGCAAGTGCAAACTTTTAATACTAAATATGCAAAAAGTTATAATACTAAATGTGCAAACCTGAAAAAGTCTAAGAAGTGCGGATTTTAGTGTTCACGTTTGCATAGTAAAGTTTGTGATAATTATGAAATTGTCACTGTATTTATCTAAATCTCATCTGGTGCGTTCAATGAGTTTGGGCGGAGAAACTTGAGCAATAATATTCTACATCATCAGTTAAAAATGGAATGAAAATTATGTAAAAATATCACTACATCTGATTTCTAATTGACTCATTGACTGAAAAAGAAAAAATAATTGGCCGAAAATGAATATGATATTACTAATTGACTGAAAATATAAAAGGATTGACTACAAATAAAAAATGATTCATAATTGACTAAAGTGAAAAAAAATGGTCAGATCATTGCATTTTAATTAAAAATTGGACGGAAATATTTCAATAATAATATTCTACATCATCCATAGTAAACGCATATTTTAAACAATAGTAAAGGTAAATTAAAAATAGAATGAAAATATTTGAATAATAATATTCTACATCATCAATTAAAAATATAACTAAAATTAGGTAAAAATATCACTACATCTGATATTCTAATGGACTAATGGACAGAAAATAAAATAGAATAATTGGTTGAAAATGAATATGATATTACTAATTGACTGAAAATATAAAAGGATCACTATATTCAAACTATTGCAACAAGATTGTGTTGCTACTACCAATGTCGTATACAATGAGGTTTCAATAATGTGTAAATATAATCGGTGATATTATGTTCTTTTAAATGACAAAATTGCTATATATCTAGACAAAAAATATATTTTCCATATAAATGAATTAGGATAGCAATTCATTCCTATAACGGAGTTGCTAAAGAATGAGCACGTTTGCCTAATTTATAAAAATACTAAACAATGATAAATAAAATCTTCAAAGTTACAGCACCGCATGCGTACATCTACACGTTAGCTATTCATTTGAGCAATTATTTACTCAAATTCAAGCAATGATAACATCAAAACATATATATTTTCAATTGCACTATATAATATTTGATATTCTAATTTAAATAATTATATATCAATCCAAATATTCTTAAGGGGGCGTATTCAATCATTGACTTTTGTAGAGTTTTAAAGACTTTTAAAATTATAGATTTTAATAAACTTTGATTGGCTTTCATAGAGTCATTCAAAACTTTATAAGACTCTATAAAATTTTATATAAAAAATATGTATAGACTTTTATCAACTTTTTATTTTAAAAAGTCTACAAATTAAAAGTCATTGAAATTCTAAATTGAATACATCCTTAAAAACTTTCAATGATTTTGATTCTGATCATTTATAATTTTCTTACAAAACATTTATAATATATCATAAAATTCTTCTTATTATATAGTTCTTCACCCATATCAACATTCTCAACATTATTATTTTTATTCAGAGTATGATGAGATTTCTATGCTAATTACTTATTCTTCAAAAAAAAGTGCTAATTACTTTATATATATATATATATATATATATATATATATATATATATATATA